TCTTACATTCAAATGTCACACATGCATTCTTTCTCTTCTATTGCTGCTACACCACCCAATGATTTCAAATCATTTTTCTATTACAACAGCTGCCTTATGACTCAGCTTGCTGCCAATCTATAGTTCATTCAATATGTCCATCACACTGTTATCAGTTAGCTTACCAATAAAATGTGAATTATATTACTCTTTTCTTTAACTATTGTCAGTGTTTCTTTCTGACATACTGAATAAAGCCCTCACTCTCTAAAAGTCATGTCGTTGGTGGTGGTGTTCAGTTGCCCAGTCACATCAGACACTTTGTGATCCCATGGACTGCAGCACACCAGGCCTTCCTGTCCTTCACCACCTCCCGAAGTTTGCCCAAGCTCATGTCCATTGCATCAGTGATGCCATCCAGCCATCTCATCCTCTGATGCCCTTTTCTTCTGCCATCAATCCTCCCCAGCATCAGGGACTTTTCTAATGAGTCAGCTGTTTGCATCAGATGACCAAAATACTGGAGTTTCAGCTTCAGGATCAGTCCTTCCAATGAGTATTCAGGGTTGATTTCCCTTAAGACTGGTATGATTTCCTTGCTGTCCAAGGGACTCTCAGGAGTCTTCTCCAGCACCATAATTTGAAGGCATCATTTCTTCAACATAAAAGCTTACCCCAAATGAGTATGATCTAGTTTGAGATTACCATTCATTCACTTATTCATTCATTCAACAAATGTTTATTGAGCCCCATTTTTTTTTCCAGACATCATTCTGGATAGAGTTGACATGGTGATGACAAAATAGCTTACGTCCTGGTGGGAAGATTACGACTCTTAACAACATCCTTCCATAGCATCTGATCTGGTGTGATCTAAGGATAGTTGTATAAGCCTCTGCTCTTAGTTTCCTGTTCTTAGTTTTTGATGATCTTCCCCACCTGCTTAAGAGCAAAATCCAGTTCTAAATTCTCTATCTGGTTGATCATTTAATAGTACTTATCTTTAAGTCTCCTTGGTGATTTATTTATTAGTCTTAATTAGTCTGATTTTACATAATTACTTCCAGGTCCTTCTTGCCATAAACAAAAACTTCTTGAGGGCAGGGAACAGATTGTATTCATCTTTGTACCCTTACCATGTTTAACATAAAGGGAAAATTTTTTAATATTTATTTATTTCACTGCACCTTGTCTTAGTTGCAGCATTGGGATCTTTGATCTTTAGTTGCAGCATGTGGGATCTAGTTCCCTAACCAGGGGTGGAACTCAGGCCCCCCGCATTAGGAGTGCAGGGTCTTAGCCACTGGACCACCAGGGATGTCCTCTCATCATGTTTTGCATATAATAAAGACTCTTCAAATTTGTTTTAATCATATTTGTTGAACAATCATTGTTGAAACATAAATGCAAAGAATACACCATTTTATTGGGTTGTTGTACCTATTATAAAACAAGTTACCTTAGATGCTTTTCATAGATGATTGAATGCTAAGTCACTCAAAATAATCATAATTTTATGATGGTTAAATAAATTCTCATTTGCACTTACTTGATGTAAAATACAATATAAAAACAACAAAATGACCTGGCCATATTTCCAACAATTATTTCAGCTTTATCTGTCCTGGTGATTGTAAAGGAAAAACAAGTACTTCTGACAAACATTGCTTCTGAGGGTGCTTTACTTTAAAAGGTCTTGGAAATCTAGTTCATAATTAAGTAAAAACTACAAAATAAACAGGAATAACAATTTACTAATTTCCCCCCACTTTCTCACTCCTTTCTGAAAAGGTGACTCTTAAGAATAGAGGGCTCTTTGTTCCTAAGCCTTAGTTTTCTCATTTGCAAAATGTGGATAATAAAAACTAACCTTAATGAGATTGAGATTACATTTGTCTCTCACAGTAATGGTATCTAATCTAGTACTCTGCTACTTACCATCTGAGTGACCTTGGCCTAGTTACTTCACTTCTTTGAACTTTTTTCTCATTTGTAAACTGTGGCTAATATAATGTAGGTTTGTAGTGGGAATCAGATAAAAAATGACATGTGAAAACATTTTTATAAAGTACTAGAAAATGTAAGGATAGTTAGTTCCAAAGCAACTACCACTGGTCCAATTTTCCCTGCAACAGAGTGTTGCATGTTCTTAGATAAAATATTATATGGAAGGTAACTCAAAGCCTTTTCTCCATATCACTTCCTTCTTTCTGCATCTGCTTTCCTAGGGAAACAAGATATAGTTCTTCCTCTGTACTTGTCTAGGTTATAGAAAAGGCATTAGTGGCAAAGGATAGCAGTTGCCCTATGCTAGTCCCAATCATTCAAGAATAACAGTTAATGAAATTTCTGCCCCTTCTACAAGTAAAAAAGAAAACAACAACAATTCTTAAAACAGTCTTTTAGATGCTATATAACCAATGGATTTCTAAAGAGAACTTTCTGTAATAGTGAAAAAGAAATTTGTATATAATTACAACTAGATGATCATGAATGTTTACTAACTGAAAATCATTCATGAAACTAAACTCAACGTATAATCTTCCCTGAATCAAAGTAGCAGTGTAATATAGCAGTTTTTATTATTAATATAAAAAATAGAAATAATAGTATACAGAAAAAAGAAAATAAGATATTTCCAATTGTTGGATCATTTTTTCTTAATTAACAATTTCTTAACCAATGAATGATAAAGTTAAATTGAGAGAGAAAGGGAGAAATTTCTAAAGTTGAATTTTTTCTTATTAACTTTCCAGGATGTAGTTATAAGGTATTTTAACTCTGTAATCCCTGTCAACAGTCTCTTCTGCAAATTGATAATTTGCTAAACAAATGGCTGCCCCCTTGTTAGAGACCTAGAATTCAAAATTATGTCAAGGATAGAGACAAATTATGCACATAATCTCTCTTTTATTATTAAAGTGAAAGTGTTAGTTGCTGAGTCCTGTCTTACTCTTTGCAAGCCCATGAACTATATATAGCCTGCCAGGCTTCTTTGTCCATGGAATCCTCCAGGCAAGAATACTGGAGTGGGTAAGCCATTCCCTTCTCCAGGAGATCTTCCTGACCCAGGGATTGAACCCTGGTCTCCTGTATTGCAAGCAGATTCTTTACCATCTGAGTCATCAGGAAAGCCCATCATCTCTGTTATTAAAGCTGGTCTCTAAATGGGTATACATTTAAAAACTCACACCAATGAGGGCAGCATGAGTATTCTAGGATTCCAGAAGAAAGAATGTTGAAAAGCTGTTCTTAATTTGGTATGCGGCTTAATGTTCTTTGGGGGCCTCCCTAGTGGCTCAGATGGTGAAGAGTCTGCCTGCAATGTAGGAGATCTGCATTCAGTCCCTGGGTCAGGAAGATCCCCTGGAGAAGGGAATGGCTATCCAATCCATTATTCTTGCCTGGAGAACTCCATGGGCAGAGGAGCCTGGAGGGCTACAGTTCATGGGGTTGCAGAGTCTGACACAACTGAGCAACTAACACACTTCTAATGCTATTTACTGAACTTTCTGTGTAGGTATGGTGAAATATCACACCCACAACACAAAACTAAATGTGACTGGAAGGATGTGACATTGTTGCAACATTGTTGCATGCTGACACAAACCTTACACCTCCTCCAAATCCTTCTCTACAATTTTTATATTACTTGAATTTAGTGGAAACCCAGAAAATGATATAATGAATTTCCCCAAGAAATAAACTCATTATGCATGCATCTTTTCAAGTCAAGAGGATTTAAACGGAGAGAAAGCAATTTACCATAACATCCTCATAACACTATGGATAAAAAGTCATACTTTGGAGCCCCATTACAGAGGTTCAAACCCTGCTTCCACATATACTAGTTGTGTAATCTAGGGCAAACTGCTTAACTTCTCTGTGCATTAGTTTGTTCATAAGTGAAATCATGATATTAAAACTCCATCTCATAGAGTTCTTAAAGGTCCAGTGAATTGCTATCTGCATGGTAGTACTGGGAATGTAGCACATGATATAAACCTTTGATAAATTAACAGAATTAGTTATAAGAAATAGTGGGAAGAACTTACTGACAAATTTCTACAGTTACTACTCTGCTTTAGTCAGTAGTGAAAGCTATTTTTAAAAATTCTGAGAGATTTCCATGCTGGCTTTGAAATCTACAAGTATCCACTAAATATCTACTATGCCTGGTGCCTTGGGGACACAAAATAAATTTATGTAGCCTTTGTGCCTCCAGAAATTAGTCTTTTTAAACTAAATTTAGAATAAGGACTTGCCTGGTAGTAGAATAAATGCTCACAGCGCAAAGTTCAAAGAAATATGCAACAAAAAGCATCTAAGATGTATACTAAGGAAAACACCACTACCAGTTGGGAATGCATTTATTTTGACATCTACACAGACAGCTGCGAAATACAATGACTCACATCAACAGACGTTCTGCAGAAACAATACTTTCCGTTCTTTCCGCCTGGGCTATCTGACAAAACCTGAGAGCAATCCCGCAAAACCACAGCGGATGCAAGTTGCAAGGGAAACATCAAAGGGATAGTGACGGACTACCTAAGAATCGGGAGGAAAACGTGGTGGGCTCGGCGAATACCTGAATCTGGGACGCAAAGAGAGGCTCCGAACCACGATCGCAATTAGGGACGAGGTTGTTCCCAGTATCTGGCTGATACTGATCAGTCCGCAAAGCCCGGAGGCGAGAACCAAGGAGTTCCCCTCCTATGCCATCTCCTCCCAGACCGTGCGATCTTCTCGGACCGGTGGGGCTGCGGGGCTCGGTCGGAAGCTTCCGACCGAGGAGCCGCCGCGATGCGGGGCACAAAGAATTCAACCCAAACCCCTTTACGGCCTCCCGCGGCCCCGCTCCCGACTGACGCCACTCTGAGACGGCAAGTTCCTGAAAGCTAACGGTCCCTACGCCGCCTCCCATATCTCTGGCATCCGAGAGTAAGCCCGGGTCACCACATCCCAGCCCGGTTGGCCGCTGAGGTGCCAGCCCGTGTTATCCCGGGCCGAGGATCCCCTCAGCCCGCCGCCCGCGTCCCAGGCCGGCACGTCACTTCCGGCGCGCGCGCCCGCGGGTGAAGAGGGACAGGGTCCCGGGCCCGGGTGCGCGACTGCCCGGGGGCGCGCAGGGGGGGGAAGGGGCGGGGGAAGGGGGAGTGTCTGCCCGCCGCCGCCACCGCCACCGCTACAGCCACCGCCACCGCCACCGCCGTGGCAGCCGGGGCTGAGTTCGCTGAAGTCCTGGCTTCAGAATCCGCCCAGTCTTCCCGCCCGCATTCTGGGCGCCAGCGCCGGGAGCACTGACTGCTGTGACCGGTGTAGAAGCGGGAGCTGCCTTAGCCTGTGGAGCGGCGGGGACGGTGCCAGCCCCGCTTCCCGTCCCTCACCCCTTCCTCCCGTCGCCCCAGTCATGGGGAACGCGGCGACCGCCAAGAAAGGCAGCGAGGTGGAGAGCGGTGAGTCAAGGGCCGGGTCTGGGGACCGGCTGGGCGGGCTGGCGCGGGGTCGGAGCCCGGAGGCCGCAGGCATGGTCCAGGCCTCAGCGGCCGCCGGGAACCACTCAAGGGGGCCCTGGGGACCAGCTGCCTTCCTCCTCCACCCCCTCCTCCCAGCTCCGGCGCGAGAGCTGAGCGTCGAGGGCCGGATGGAGAGGGCGAGGGAGGAGAGAGGACCCCGTGACTCCCTTTTACACTAGAGCGGGGGGACTCCCAAGCTTAGACACTTCCCCAAATATGGTCCGGATAAAGAAGTCTCTTGGACCATCCCAAGCCCTCGCTCCTTCCCCGCCCCCCGGCCCCGTCCCCCCCTTTGGGAGCCACAGGTAGTGTTGGCTCTTCTCCCTCCATCACTTGGGTCTAACCCAGTTTTATCATCAGGTGAGGGATTGCTGCTCTGGTTCTCCGCAGATGAAGTTAATCCTAAATGGGTTTCAGAGATCCTCCATCTCTTCTGGATAGGAGTTGAAAATATAGTAAGAGTGAGCAGCAACTTTTCCCATTAGAGAAAAAAAGCAGGACAGGTTTGCCTTCTCTGAAAACATTCAAAAATTTGCTACAATGTCTGTAAAACTTAAAGGTTACTCCGAGTTGAAGTGCTTCCAGAATTCCGGGGATTTCTTCTGAGAGCTGCAAGTGCAGGCACTCTACACTTTACTGTATGGCCATATGGTTTTATTTTGTTTATCTGTCAGTCTGTCTATTAGTCAGTCAGTAAATCTGGGTGGTTTTTGCCTTTGCCCAGTACAACTCAGATCTTGTAATTCAGAATGAACAGATAACAAGTATTTATTTTGTTACTAGGAGTAAATGACATGTAAGCACTTGAGGCAATGCCAGATGAATAGGGGATACCTGATGATTTATTCCAATTTGTGTAAACAGTATCTTTTAATGTTTCTGTGTTTGTAACGTGTTTTAAGTTAATTTCATAATTTAGCATGAAGGAAATAGTCTCCCCCCCATCCCAATATTAGGGCTTCCCTTAGGACTCAGCTGGTAAAGAATCTGCCTGCAATGCTGGAGACCTGGGTTTGATCCCTGGGTTGGGAAGATCCCCTGGAGAAGGGAAAGGCTACCCACTCCAGTATTCTGGCCTGGAGAATTCTATGGACCGATAGTCCATGGTGTTGTAGAGTCAGACATAACTGAGCAACTTTCAGTTCACTTCACTTCCCCCATATCAGTAAAGCAGAATTGATTTGGAAAGATCTAGTCATTCATTTTGTTTAATATGAATAGTTAGGTCAAATTATGTGGTTTGTGTTTCACCAATAAGGTTTTGGTTTTAATTTTCAGGAGCTCCAGAAAAGTTTAATGTCTTTAATATGTGAGATGGACATTTAAAAAAAACAATATAGAGGTGGAACTTCAGTGGTCTTTTTTCTTATAATTGCACAAATGTAGTAACTAACTGTATAGAAAGTATTAAAAATGAGGGAAGTGTAAGGAATTGTTTCTGCCTTTTGTCATTTTCCTTTTTAATTTGAAGTTCTATTAACATAAAGACAAAATGTGTACTAATGTATTACAAAGTGTGCTTGGTAATTGAATCATATCAGTGATTTTTTATTAACAAGTACTGGCCTGTACAGTGTTTATATTTTTAATAGTGATAGTAGACTCTTTTGTGATCTATATATTTCCATTATTAAGGTTATCAAACAAATTCTCGCCTAGACATTTGAAGCTCCTAGCTATGAGATAATCTTAGAATATTTACTGGAAACAGAATGGAAACTTTAAAAATGTTTGAGTAAATTCTTTCATAAGCTTTAACTGTTAGTGGCAGCCTAGTTCTTAAGTATGTTAGCCAGCTTTTTATAGAAGTTTGTTTATGGAAACTGAAGGTCATTATAGTAGTTTGAATACATATTCTGAAGTGATAAGAGAAAATAGCAAGTTATGTCTCACTGGACAATCATTTGAAATGTCACATGTTGATTAGTTTGTAATTTCATTTGGAGCAATGTTATCAGGTACATGTTGCTGCTGGTCTACCATGGTGAACAAAGACATTTTTATCTATATATCTTAAAATTTAATGAAAGAATAACTTATACCATTATATAGCTAACTGATTTTTATAGTTTTTAAAAATTACTTTTGAAAATATATGGCTTTCAAAATTTGAATGTAGTTATTTAAACTTCAATACATGCCTTTCAAACTTTGAATGTAGTTATTTAAACCTGGCATGCTGTTGTCCATGGGGCAAAGGGTTGGACACGACTGAGTGACTGAACTGACTGAACTGAATTGGAAACTTCAACCAATGCATAAAAGCATAAGCTTTTAGAAATGTAAGTGGTCCTAGAGATCAGCCTATGTAATCATTCCTTTTCAAAGCCAGAGAACTTGACCTCTGAAGAAGCAGGAGCTGAGGTCATACTGTTAGTGATATCAGAATAAAGAATTGAATCTGGTCCCCTGACTCCATTCTGCATCACTAACTAATCAAGTAACAAAAATATTTTCAAAGTGTCTGCTAAGTGTGTTAGTTTCATATGGAGACCCTGTAAGTAAAGGCTCAAGTTTTACTATCTAATGTGAGAGAGAAAATGTACATATAAAAGTTAACTGAAAAGCAAAATATGACAAATGCTAACATTATGGAATGTGAAGTTAAAACTCTGAAAACTACCAATAGGAAAATGTTTGACTTGGAATGCTTTAAAAAGATCAGGTCAGTTAGGATTTGAGGTCTGGCTCATGCCTCATACAGGTGACTCTGGACTTTAGTTCTAAAAATATTCCAGAACAATGAAGTGGGGCATAAAAATATTTGAGAAGGGTCTTGGTTAGCTTGGCCTATCTGGTGCTTATGTTGTACTGTACTGAAATCTGTCCTCCAATGCTTGCTGTGCTGAGCTCAGTCATGTCCAACTCTTTGTGACCCCATGGGCTGTAGGCCACCAGACTCCTCTGTCCATGGAGTTTTCCAGACAAGAATACTGGAGTGGGTTGCTATTTCCTTCTCCAGGCAATCTTCTCGACCCGGGGATTGAATGCATGTCTCCTTTGTGTCTTCCCCATTAGCAGGCGGATTCTTTACCACTGTGCCACCTGAGAGCCCAACATTAAGTTGGGTACTTATTCTACTGTGGTAAACTGGGAAATTGTATTGAGATGTAAAACTTAATGAAAGAGCAACTCTTACTTTTACATATCTACTTGTTTTGTATATTAAAAATAATTACTCTCATAAATATTAGTCAGTTCAGTTGCTCAGTTGTGTCTGGCTCTCTGTGACCCCATGGACTGCAGCACACCAGGCTTCCCTGTCCATCACCAACTCCTGGAGCTTGTTCAAACTCATGTCCATCGAATCGGTGATGCCATCCAACCATCTCGTCCTCTGTCGTCTCCTTCTCCTAAATATAGTAAATAAATATAGGAGTCTTCTCATAAATATAGGGGTCTCAAAATTTGAATGTGGTTATTGAAACCTCAGCTAATAGGCAGAAGTATAAATTTTAGAAAAATAAGTGAACATATAATTCTCTGAGAAATTTTAAACTTGTCATTCAAAATTGTTTCACTTATCCTGTCTTTCACTTTATTCACAGTCCCCAACATAAAAATCATGTCACTTATTTTAACAAAAACCACACACACACAGAGTGGATTTCCATTCCCCTCACATATTGCCTCTGGGCTTTAGGTGTAACACTGTCAGAACCATGGTGCTGAGGCCTGCGGTTACAATGTTGGTGGAGGTTTGGATGCACATTCTCCTGTGACTGCAGGTGGTAGAGCCAACAGTGTTCATACAATGATTTTTTTTTTTAATGTTTTCCAGAGTGTTTCTCTGTCTTAAGAACTTTTGAAGATGAATGGAAGTTAAAGAGTCACCCACTAGTAGACAAGGTTCAACCCAAATGCAGATTTCATAAAAACTAGCATTTTTTAAGGGTTTACTATGTGCCTGATTCTCTTAAGTTTGCATGCATGATTTTCTTAATCTTTTCAGCTGTATAACATAGTTCAGTTATTCTCCATTTTATATTATAGATAAGAAAAAGGAGGCTCAGAGAGCCTAAATGACTTGCCTAAGGTTGCACAGCTAGTTCAGTGAAAGGGTAACATTTGAACTAGGCAGGTTAACCTTAGAACCTGAAATCCTAACCACTATTCAGACACCCTCTGTATGCAACAGAAAGCTTATTCTGAGGCACACAGAATAGTTTAGACTTCACTTTAGTCAGTATTATTATAGGAAATTTTGGTTGTTTTCAATAGTGATTATTTGGATATAATAAATATCTTAAATGAAAGTTATTTTTTTTGTTGTGCTGTCTTCTAGATTCAATTTCTGTAAAATGAGGATGAAGGATTAAATTACTTTGAAAGTCTTTTCAGATTTAATATGATATAATTTCAAAGTAAGCCTTAGAAAATTGATTTTATATACTTAAACCTTCATTAATATTTGTATTTAATTTTTTCTTCTTATTCATAAATGTATAGTTTCCCTTTCTGTGAAATAGCCAATTGAAAAATTACTTTTTGAACTTGTACTGCCATTTTAAAAGTATTTGGAAATTTGCATTTTATACCATGGTTTGCAGTAGCACTATCCAATCAGACTTTCTGCTGTGATGGAAATGTTCCTATATACATTGTCTTCTGTGGTTGCCACTAGCTGCCTACAGCTATTGAGCACTTGAAATATAACCAGGGCAACTGGGAAACTGAATTTTTAACTTACATGCGGCAGTTAGTGTTTGATATATTGGACAGCACAGGTTTAGAGCATAGTATAGTTTAGAACATGGTGGTGGTGGTGATTTAGTCGCTAAGTCGTATCCGACTCTTGCAACCCCATGTACTATAGCCTGCCAGGCTCCTTTATCCATGGGATTCCTGGCAAGAATACTGGAGTAGGTTGCCATTTCCTACTCCAAGTTTAGAATATAGCATGTAATAAAAACACCAACCTATCTTTCCATCATCTTTGTAATTTGTAGATCCTCACAAGTGTTCATAGAGGAACAAAATGCTATATTTATCTTTTCTCATACTAGAAATTAA